CTCCTAAATCTCTCCATTTACTTTCTGAGTCCTAAGATTATTTTGTTCGTCATTAGTAACAAGGTACCTAAAATCATTCGGTCATTCATGCTTTTTACAAGGGATGTTGTTCTGTCTTATTCGTTTATAAAATCCTGCACCATGCACAATGCTACACTGGCACTTAACAGGTATCAATAAATATTAGTTAAATAAAAACTAGTTAAGTGAATAGACGAAGAAAGAAATTTACTATAAATGTCTGTTGTTGTAAGACATTGCTACTTTAAAGAAAACACGATGACCTGCCAATTGAATCACAAAGATGACATCACAAAAACGACTGATATTGGAGTGTTTAAACTTCTGATCAAGGATACAAGACTAGGAAACCTAGAGGGCTTGAAGTGGAAGGAGGCACAGCTCTACAAAGGGACAGCTGGAAACACAGAAAACAAACAGAACTCTTCATACTTCACAGCTTTGTCAAGGGAAGGTTCTGTTTACCATCAGCTGGGAGGAGACAAATAGCAGCTTTGTGGAAATATGTTTGGTGTGTTTGGTGCCAATAGGCAGAGTTGAGTTTCCAAGAATTTTTGTGATTTATTGTATAATTTAAACATTCTAATATAGTTTTTTTTTTTTCCTTCAAAACATCCGTGTCACTACCTTAGCCAATTTTCATTCTCAACAGTAGATCATTACGTCTGTTTGAAAGCTTGGGAACAGAAACTTTAATTCCGTTTCAAGCTTTGAAAAAAATTATTGAAGCCAATACCTATGCTTTGAAATATCACACTGCTTTATGGAAATTTAATCTTGAAATGGAGAAAGCAGAATCAAACTATAAATCTACTCTTCTAAAAGATGCCATGAATTTCCTGAAGAACTTAAAAATTTCAATTACATAGAAAAAAATGCTTGATTATTCTGACAATACGTGGCATGCATTGCTTTCTAATTGTGTTCATTTCACAAGTTTTGATAACATAGCCCCCTTTGCCAAATATAGACATCAATATTTAGTTGGCTAATCAACTGGTACCCAATTATTCAACACCAAGCTATTCTATTACTTTTCTTTGGCTATTGCAGCAAAGATATATTGGTTTTGCATAAGGAAAGCCTCCTAACCGCTTATCATTTCCACCCTGGCACCTCAGACATTAGAGTGATGAGTGGTCAGTGATAAGGAGAAGAGGAGCCGGCTGGGGGAAAAGAGAAAACAGACAAGGCAGGTGTTACCAAAAATATTAGGACAGCGGCCTATGGTTGTTAAAATTAGGACTCAGCACCTGAGTTCTAAACTCTGTTCTCCCACTGAGTGACTTGGGCATCAGTTCATTCAGCTACAAAGTGAATGAGTTGAGTTCAACTGTTGCTAAGTTGGCTCTCAAGAACTGCACTGCTCTCTGTGGCTTAAGACCTTTTCCTTTTGAAACCCCTTCTTAGAAAAATAAGATACCACTATTTAATTTGTCCCAAATGTCACAGACCATAAGCATCATCTCTAGCTACATCCTGGAAAGACCAGAAGCCCCAACAATGCCTTAAAACTGGCATCTTCCATATCCGAAAGGGAACAAGGGCTGGAACACACAGTCATGACTTCAAAAAATGAGGCCTGCACATGTCTACTTTGTAGAACAGCCTGGCTGACTTTTGACCTGACTTCTTATTATTTGAAGCAGCTTACTGACACTGCCAATTACATCACACATAATAGAACACACATCTTGTAATTGAACCACAGATAGTGCCAAGCAACATAAAGAATCCAGGAAATACATACTTAAAATGTAAACTGTTCAAACAGAACAGCTACTGAAGGATCTGGAAGTACATATGCAAACTGCTTCTCTGAGGTTAAAGAGCCACATTTTAGGATTCTTCAGTGGCTGCTGCCATGGACCTGCTTTTAAAAGCCTCAGTAACTTCTCAAGACATCATGTTAAACAAAAGGCCACATCTATTTCCCCCAGTAAAGACTCAGCCTAATAATACTGGATATGTTTAGGACAGAGAAATAAAGCATGCTTTCCAGAAGTTGAAAAAAAAGAAAAAAAAAAAAAAAGAAAAACAGCCTTTTAGAATTAGTAGGTACCACTCTAATCTGAAGCTTGTACTGTCCTTTTCAATCGTTGCAGAGAAACAATTAATAAAGGAACCCATTAAGACCTGATTATTGCTGCTAAAAAAAGGAAGGTAGAATTTCAGTCCTTTGAAGTAACTGAGAATGATTCAGGCCTCATTACAGAGATATAATCTACATTCATACATTTATGTTAGTGATTCAAATCTATTGGGAGAGATTGAATTCCGTTAAATAGTGCATCTTTCCTGTGGAACTTTTCTCAGGCTTTCTCAGGCTAACCTAAGAGGTGACCTAACAATGCAAAGCAGTGGAGTATTTAGGGATTCAACTGTGCTATAAAAGAAAGGCTGTGCAGAAAAGAAAAAGAAGAATGAGATATAATCTAAAAAGCTATGTCAGCTTTTCCTTTGGGCTGTTTTGTAAATGCCCTTCCTGTCATCACGCTGTACAGAAGAACGGCAAAAGGACTCTAGAAGTTTTAAACACTGCACCTGCTGCAACCACATTTTAATATGGAAGTTTGACGCTGTGTTTTCTCCCCCTCCCCTCATTTCAAACAGAATAAAAACACAAAACTTCTCACAAAGACCTGAATAGCTTTCTCTGCTGGAGCAGAAAGTCGGTAGATGTGGGGGTTAGGGTGGGAGTGGGGGGACTGCCTTCAGTGTAGGAGGGGGTGTCTTTTGTGAGTTTTTTAAAAAATTAAAAGGATCTCAAGTTGGCCTCAATAGTGTTGATGCCCAGTGTAGAGAAACCTCAAAATTATAACTTCCCATATTTTGTAACTTTTCACAGAAGAATCTTTACTGTATGGTTTCATCAAACATAAGAAAAAAAATGTAGTTTTAATTAGCTTTAAATCCAAACGTTTGGATTCTACTGAACAATTTGACTGAAACTCAAGTCCCTTAGAAACACTACACTTTCTTTCAGGCATTTGTTAGCCCAGGTATAAAACTGTGAACTAAAAAAATTAGCACATGATTTCATTTCTAAACATCCCTGCTTTAATGAAAGAACAAAACTTTGAGCATACAAATGACGTAGCTCTTTAAGTCTCCAATTAATGGCCACAGAAATCAGAACTAACTATATTAAATTTAAAAACCTACTGTGCTGTTCACCACATTGTCAAAATCTTTTCAGTAAGCATTGCAACTGGATATAAACAATGCAATTAAAACCCTAATTCTAGCATTACATGGCTCTATTTCAAAGGCTCTGAATGTGTAGGAAAATATAAGCACATTCATGTAAAGTCATTTTTTCAGGTCACTAAACAACATAATTGGGCAATCATTCCTAATGCCCATCTCTAAAGCTAGACTTTTTTTTTTTTATTTCTCTGTATTTTCTCCTGTTCACAATGAAGACGGAGGTCAAACGCATATTATAGGGATCCTGGCTTGTGGCATATACACAAGTTCTTCTGATTAGCTCCCTTCGAATTAGTTACAGAGGTCAAACCCCCAAGTTCACCTTGAAGTGACTCTCCATCATAGAACAGCAGTCTCTAAATGTTAAGCTGAACCATATGAAATTGCCACTTTGGAAGGTCAAAAAATATGAGATAGTGGCAATTTCAGAGGCTTCAACATAACACTAACATCCAACTGCCTTACAGGAGACCATAAATATTTTACACCTGTACATCGTCAGTTACTCCTCCCAGCCAAGCCCTCCCGAGTTGAGAGTAATCCTCGTAGTGATTCTCTAGGAACTCTCTCTTCCTCGGATCGGAACCGACGATCACAGTTACTTGCCTCTCGTGCCTCTTGGTTCTTGGCAAGTCTTCCTGGAGGGGGATTTGGTTCTGTCTACACCTGGGCTGCCAGCATTGCTAGCAAACGAGGGTGTTGGGACGTGGTGAGTGTTCTTGAGAAAGAGGGAGAACCGGTAGTGCAATTGCATTGTAAAATAGGGCTCTCTTCACATTAAATGTAAAGGTAGGAAAACGACGCCCCTTTTTATGGCAAAGCGCAGAGGAAATCGCGTAGAAGACAGCAGAACGTGGGGGGCAAATCGTGCGGGTAAATCTTCCCAATCTCAATATTACGTGCGTTCGCTTTGGAAGCGCACGCGTGATTCGGTAGACGACTCACGCCGCCAGCAATTAGAAATCGCTCTTTTCGGTCCCCCACTTCATCTGCGCCAAGAGAGAGGCGACTTTTAAGGGTGACGATAAATCTCCCTGAGCTTAAAAGGCAGAGAGGGCCAGAGTGTGAACTTTTTACTCCGGCAACGGAAGCGAGAAATCAGAGGTTCATTAAAGCGGAGACCTCCTTGGAAGCTGGCAAAAGAGGAGGAAAAGCAGCTAATTACGTCTCCCCTTTTCTGGGCTCGCTGCGACCGGTTTATAATCTGCTGCTGTAGAGGGTTTTGTCCAACAGCATCCTCTGCTTTCTTCCCCAGCCTCTCTCCTTCTTCTGGGAGCCAGAGAGGGTGGGTGGGGGCCGGGGTGGGGGTGCGGGTGCGGGTGGGGGTGGGTGGGTGGGTGGGGGGACAACCAGGCAGCCAAGCACCGAGCTCCAGGTGGCTCTCAAGTACTTCACTGCCAAAAGCCCGGGGGTGGGGGTGGGGGGGTGGAATCCTGCGCTGGAAAACAAGTGAGAAAGGGGCTCCCCAGAGGGGACTGGCTCGGGCTGGAAGACAGCAAACCTCGGAAAGCCCGAGGACCCAGCTCGCGCCGCTGGCCAGCGCCGCCGGCGCACGGGCGCTCCCCGGCAGCTCGCGGGGGCTGCAGGCGCGGGGCGGGGGCGGCGGCCGCGGGGCCCCGGGGAGCGGACCCGGCCCCCCCAGCTCCGCGCGCGCAGGCACCGCGCTCTCTGCTCCCGGCCCCCTCCCCCTCCCCCTCCCCCTCCCCGGAGTTCCCAGCAGCCGAGGGTTTCAGATGTCCCACCGCCGGTTGACCCCCTCCCCCCCGCTTCTCCACCCCTGCGAAGGAGGTTTGACCAGCAGAGGCTGAGCCCACCTCTGGCTCCGAATCACTGACATTTCGACTCCGGGCTTCAACCTGTTTACAAGCGGGCTTCCCAAAGGAAGGGGGTGGCGGGAGGGGGGCGGGAGGGAAATAGGGCCAAGCGAAACACCAACCGCCATCTCCCCCAAACAAGAAGTGACTTTCTGGAGGCTTCACATCCACAGGCACCACCAAAAAGAGAAAGCAAGAGGGGGGAAGGAAACAACGGCGACGGGCAGCTGCCTCCGGTTCTGACAACTCCAGGGGGACGCGCTTTGCGAACGGGCTCGCAGGCTGGGGCTCCGCGGAGAGGGACCGGAGGGCGCCCAGCCCGGGCCGGCGCAGCGGGCGCAGCGGGCTCCCCGGCCTCCCGCCCCGGCCTCCGCGGGGCTTGCTCACCGTGCTGTCATCTGTTTTTCAGACTTTTTTTTGTTTTTGTTTTTGTTTTTGTTTTTGTTTTTGTTTTGTTTTTGTGTCTTTTTTTTTTTTTTTTTTTTTTGCATCTAACATGGTGAAGAAAGGAGTGAAGAAGCGAACAAAGTAGCTCCCGAGGGGAGTGGAGCTCGCTGGTGACCCAGAGCCCCGCCGCCGCCGCCGCCGCCGCCGCCAGCTCCCGCTACCGCGGCCACCCACGTCCACCCACGTCCACGTTCACCGGGAGACTCGCGCGGCCGCGGATCCCAGGACGGAGCGAGGAGAGGCGGCCGGCCCTTCCGAGGAGTTATGGATGTTGGTGCCCTCACTTCTGGCCGGATCCGCGCCCCGGGGGAGCTAACCAGCGGCCGCCGCCTCCAGCTGTCTCCTTGCCTCGCACCAGGGCTTACCCTTCCAGTATGTTCCTTCTGATGAGACAATTTCCAGTGCCGAGAGTTTCAGTACAATGTGGAAATGGATACTGACACATTGTGCCTCAGCCTCTCCCCACCTGCCTGGCTGCTGCTGCTGCTTCTTGCTGCTGTTCTTGGTGTCTTCCATCCCTGTCACCTGCCAAGCCCTTGGTCAGGACATGGTGTCACCAGAGGCCACCAACTCCTCTTCCTCCTCCTCCTCCTCGTCCTCCTCGTCCTCGTCCTCCTCCTCCTCCTCCTCCTCCTCGTCCTCTTCCTCCTTCTCCCCTCCTTCCAGTGCGGGGAGGCACGTGCGGAGCTACAATCACCTCCAAGGCGATGTCCGCTGGAGAAAGCTCTTCTCTTTTACCAAGTACTTTCTCAAGATTGAGAAGAACGGCAAGGTCAGCGGCACCAAGAAGGAGAACTGCCCGTACAGTAAGTAACAAATGCGCGCTCCCCTCCTTCCAATTATCCACCCCCCACCCCACAAGGGGGGGAAAATCTGTTCCAGATGTGGCCAGCTAAATATTTACGTCCCCAACCCCTGTAAAATGATTAAGTGGAATACTTTCACACTAAATCACTCCCCCCCCCATACATCGAGCTGCCGCCCCCCTCCCCCTGGCGCGGCTCCCTCCACCCCCCCCCACTCCCTGCCACCCCGTCCGCCCGGTCTCCCCGGCTTGTCATTCCCGGGACCACGCCGGGCGCCCGAGAGTCGTTGCGGTGCCCGATGCCCCCTCTCCGTCTCCGTCAACCCCGCCGCACCTCATCCCAAGGTTCCCCCTTTCCCTCCCTTCTGGAAATGGCTCCGGGTAAACACATTTTGTTTCTTTTCGCTGGCAATCTTATTAAGAGGTTTGGGACGGTTTCCTCAAGCTGAAAATAATTATCCGCTGTCAATTACAGGGGCTTTATGGGAGCTTTATTTAAGGAAGAAAAGTCAATTCCTCGGGCTCCCCACCCCCCATCTCTTTACCCTACTACCTATCTGGACAGGAGTGCAAACATTTTTCTGGTTTTGATTTTTTTTTTCTTGACCCCTCCTGTTGGTTTGAGTGATCGCAGCCCATGAAGTTAGCTTTTCAGGCACCAGCGCTGCTATTTGTCTTCCGCCTGCCTTCTCTCTTGGTAACATGATGCTCATGTCTGCATTGTCAATGGCATATGCGCTGCTTTGTGGTGTCCCGTTGTACTCGTTTCTTCTGAAACCTCTCATATTGCAGAGCCACACTACTACAGCATTGTAAACATCTGGGACTGGATTCACACAGACCTCACACAAATTTCATTGTCATTCTTTTATTTTCAAAGTAAGAGTCGTGAGTCTGTTTCCATGGCTATAAGTTTGTCCCCATTGGATGAAGTTTTCTGCTCAGGATCAATTATGCTGCCTCCCCCCCTCCAACCCACCCCCCCAAGCTCCATCCCTAGATTTCTTTCCATTTTTCCTTTCTCTCTTTCCTTCTTTAGCTCTTTCTCTTCTTTCTTTCTTGCAGGGGTGTGGGCTGGGTAGGGGGAGGGAGAACTAGAAGAGGAGGGGTGGATATTGTGTCTCTTGAATCAGTCCAGCAAAGCCAGATTACTCTGTTGGCTTCCTTTCCTAGTTACTTTTCAAGTGGTGAGACTTATTCACCCTCTATTGATGGCTATTTGAAAGGATCCCGAGGCTATGTAATGGCACACTGAATTAGACAATGACATTTAAACATCTTTAATGACCATTTAGCATTATCTCAATGGTCTTTCCTAAGTTACCTTTTAAAGGGACCTTTATGTGTCAGTTGTTTGGGAATTTCTTGCCAACTAACTTAAATACGTGGGCGGGACATTCCCAGATACCTTGGCCCAGAAGAGTATCTGGTACCATTGGGAAAGACAGCTAATCAGAATTTAGGATTTTCTTTTTAAATAAAGATTTATAAGAATTAAGACTTAGATTCCTTATTTGGGGATCCACATGTATTCAACGTTAACTTCTGTTCCTCTTCAGCTGCTGCTTCCATTTACTAAAATTAGCGATATGTTTATAAGTAATAAAAATATTGTGAAAGTATTTAAAAATATTCCATCTTGCGTTTAATATAGAGATGTTAAAAAACCCATTACCTCTTTTTTTCCATTCTGATTCATAGAAAATGGATGAAATAATGTCATTTATGTGGGGTTTTTTTTGTTTGAAAGTCATTCATTCCCTGAATTCATTAGATACTATGTAGAGATGTTATAGTTATTGATTAAAAACTTAATACCTTTGTTCACTCCTAAAACAAAATTAGTTGTGGTGTCATCCAGGAAGGTCGTTGGGGACAGGGAAGAAGTAAGCCAAACACTTGCTGAAGAGTGAGCTGGGAGATAAAAAAACAAAACAAAACAAACCCCATTGACTGAAACTCTTCTTTGTATTTTTAGTTTATTTTCAAAGTGTTAACCTTGAGCAAATTTTTTGTTTGTTTTTGGACACTAATTTGATTTTGCTATATTTTAAGTGTCTCTACAATGTGACACAAAGACCAGTCTATACTAGCTTGTTTATGCAACTGAAATTACTATTTTCTAAAATAATAATCATATGTGCTTATTTAATAAGATGATTGCCACGGGTATAAATTGAATTACATTTTTACAGTAAGAATTACCTGCAAAGAGAAAGGTATACAATTTTTATTGATAAAAACTATTGTGGAAAATTTTTATCCCAACCATCCAAAATATAATATCTCTTCCGTAGGAAAAGTATACCAGTAGTCCCTGTTAAAGTATCCTTTCTTATATAGTAATGCAGTTGTAATCAATGATTGAAAATCAAAGGGGTGGGGCTTACTCTGGCAAATAATGTCAAACTATAAACAATTTAGGCTTTCCAAGAACATCTGTATCAAGACATGGCAAGTGAAAAGTAGAGGTTGAAAAAGCCTTAATTTCACATGTGGCTGGGTAATCAGAACACTGCTACAATTTCCAGCTGGACTGATTCAGCTGAACTACATGGTATCATTAAGATATTGTCTAAATGTTGCATAATTACATGTGAACAAACTTTTGCCATGCCTACAGGGTAACCAGCCAGCCAGCCCACCAAATGGTAGCCTGTTAAATATTAGGGTTTCTGAAGTGTCAGTTCCTTGTCCAAAAACCACTTTTCAGTAACATTTTCCTAAACAAGTTATTAATTATTCTCGATACACAAAGCTGTTCTTTTGAGGTTTGCTTATTTGAAGCTTAATTTTCTTTGTTACTTTGACCCTAGTATTATTGCTGCTAAAATACAGTAACAGCTTATCTAAGAGGTTACATGTTTGGGATGTCCTGGGTAATTAAACAACTGCTTTCCTGGCTTTTTGCCAGCAAAATACTAACAAAGGGGAAGTAAGGAAATCACCCATAAGCATTGCAAAATCATTTTTAACTTCTACCTCCAAAGCTGGTTCCCAGAAATTGAATGGTTCTAAAAATATTACATGTGTTAAAGAAACTCTTCTCAATTTGGGTGATTTTAACCTTTTTTTTTTTTTTTTTTTTTTTTTTTTAGTGGAGGGGGTGGTTTTTGGTTTGCTTCTATGCCATTATATGAAAATAGAATAAAAGGAGCAGAGATGAATTATGTTTCTTCTGCTACAAATCTAAGAAAGCTTGAATAATTTAGAATAGCTGCAGTGTATCTGTCACTAGATATGCTTAGACTCATTTAAGTTTGTTTTATCATTCTTTACATCTAGAGCTTTGCCCTTGAAACATTACCACTCAGCTCCAGTTCTGGCCTCCTGGAAAGGCTGGATACAGCTGTTAGGTACCCTTGCAACTGGAACTGGTAGACTTATTTCTGGATGTGAGTGCACTGTGGGCTTCTCCCATGGTTGTCATTTGTAGAAAAAGGGAGTCTAGTGAAAAAATAAAATGTATCCCTAAACTTGAGAGAGCCAAAATGGAAAGCCACAGTGCCTATGAGTCTTTGTGGGAAAGGAATTTGGGAAACAATGGAGAAATCGGTATGTACTGGGTAGCCTGTGCTCTATTTCTTCAAATATATATATCATTGAACACATAGTGGTCCTATAATTTAGCTATAACTATCCACATTTTTCCAAAGATGAGGCTGAGAAAAGTAAATTACCCAAGGTCATTCAACTGGAAATGGACAGAGTTAGGTCAAGACTAAATCTATTTGGTTATATTATTTCTTTTACCTCTGCTACTGGCAACATTGATGCCAATATATTTGAATTGGACATCCCAAAACTCTAAAAAACAAATTATCCAAAATCTTAATCGCTTCTTGATATGAACATCAATAGTTCTTCAGGTTCAAACTGAGACAGTAGTAAATTGAGAGAGGAACAGAAATGAAACGTGTTCAAGGTATCATCACTGCAGGTGGCTACATGGTATCAGACAATGGTAATGCATTATCTAAGTGAAATATCTCTTGATATTTTGTTTGAGAATATATATGCTTTTGGACTCACAAACTACATGTACATAGATCTCAACTTTTTAACAGAGGGCATGAGAAGTACATGACCATTTGAGAAAAATACATGAATGTTATTGTATATAGTAGTTGTTTACAGCTGAGGGCAAAATGTTTAATTGTTCCCACATGTAATAAAAATAATTTGATTGCAAATACCAGTGTGAAATTGGGCTATTGCAGAAACTTCTGATATATGACTCTAAAAAGGGCAAAATCTTAGAGACCTAAAGCTATATATATATGTTAAGAAAGCTTTAAAATGAGTCTGCATATCAAAAAGGTACTTCACCATATATAAATGACAAATTACTGTCTAGGATTAAAGGCTTGCATTATTACTTTTACATCAGGACTAGGGCTTATTGTAAGTAGTTAAATAACATGAGAAAGTAACTGTTGAGGAAAATAGGGACTTGAATATCATCTCCTAATACATATACAATGTGTTTTGGAAAGAAAACCTATATACAACTTAAAGCTTCCTCTAGTGTCTTACTTAAACTGTAGTCATTTCTAGAGTTTGGTTGTATAATTTATAACTGGCAGCATTTAATCATGCACACTGAGGATTTATGAAGGTGGAAGACACTGTTTTTAATGTTTACATGACACTGTCCTGTTACCTTTACTGCATTTCTACCATATGGACTCTCCACTCCAATGGCTTTATCATAAATCTATTAAAAATGCACAATTACAGAGTTTCCTCTTTACAGACCTGATTTATAAGCTACAAGATGAAACCCAAGAAAACAGTTGGCAGAAATCACATCCAATACTAAAGTATGAGAACTCAGAAACCCCAATCTCTAGGTAGGTCTTGGGCATTTCAGGGATCTATTAGGCGAAGGTATGGACCACTCTTTAAAAACAGGTGTTTTCAAAATGATGTTTAAGCACAGACTTTAAAAGAAAAATTGTGCCTTATTGAATGACCCATCGCATGCATATTTTCTTCTGC